ATTGTTCTACATAAAACTTTGGGTAAAAATTATGCTTATGTGCATAGCATTTTATTATTAACTAGAAGCACAACTATCCCCCCGACACATACGCATGAACGTTATCAAGCTTCTGTTTATTTGTTCAACCATTTGTTTCTTGCTTCCAGGATAGATTCCTTGACTTTGCTTGCCAATTGTTTTTCATGTCTCTTCTCCAACATTCTGAATATAGTTTTTTCATTGTACGTCAGGTTTGTCACTTCTTAAACAATTTCTCAAACATCAAAATTTACCTTTGTTTAATTTGTGTGAGGAAAAAATTATAACTTTGCACCTTTGTCAACCAATACCACTTGTGTTGCATAACGTTGATGTTGTTGATCATGTCTCAAAATGATGTCATTTTAACGTTGACATCTTGAGACTTTTTTTATGCAATCCCCTAAATGCCAAGGGCAAGGTTTATCGCTCCACCATTTCTACGAGTTCCTTAATTGAGTGAATTTTTACAAATTAACCTCTCGTATTATTATGATTATTATTATTATTATTTTTTTTTTGTATTACCTGCTTTATCCTTGATGCATGTATGCTCGTTTTTGTTAAAGATGTATGATAATATTGTCAATGAGATGTTTTATGAATATCAAATTATATTTATTTCAATGAATAAAAGTTTATAAATGTTCATTTTAAACCACCATTAGATAAACTTGTTTTGTTGGACCCACGTTTTGTTGGGCTAGTCATTTTTTGTTAGTAACAATGGTGACCTTACATGCTCCGTTTTAATTGTAAGCCTATAATTCATATTTATGATCATAATGTTTTTCTTGGATATTCTCTGACACCCTGTGCAGATAATTACCAAGGAAGAATGTCTAAGTATAACCATAAAACCTCAATGAATGCATGCTAAACATCCAAACTTCCCACGCGTAAAAAGAAAGGATAATGATACAGTTTGAACTTTCAGGTGACTAGAAGCTCAACACTTCATGCTTTCAGACTCAGGTTGTACTTTGTCAAAATGTAGGTACATAACAATCATTTATTGGTTGCCACTAGATTTCCATCATGATCCTCGCGGCACATTAATGTAAACAAGAGGTCCACAAGAGGCAGTGCTGATTTAGATCACCACTATACATAAAGCTAAATTGCTCAGCGTTATAATCATCAAAACGGTAACAATCTTAGAGACATGCAAAGGATCATTAGTTGAAAGGTGATATGTGAAAAAAACACGAATTATCCAACTCCTCGTGCACTGGTGCAATCCTTATAAAGGTTGTGAATAAATTATGATTCAAAATCCTAAAACTTCAAATAATCATTATTGAAAAAAATATTTTGTGACTTTATTATGTCCATTTTCCAACAATTTGGCAACAAACTTAAATCTGATTTATGTTAATGTCATCCACTTGAAAAAAAAAATCACATTTTAAAATCATGTACTACATTTTCCTATTATATCCTGACACCTCAATTTATAAGTAAATATCGATCAAACAATTTTATAATTTTTAATACATAATATAGATGATGTATGCATATTTCTTATACAAAGTTACATTTGCTTCAACATGTCACCGAAAGAAATAACCTTTGTAGTTTAAATGCAAACAAGTCATCATAATAAAAACGTATGTGCTGATTTTTTTTTGATATTGTAAACATACTGTACATGTTCAATAAAAATTATACAAGCCAATTGATTTATCAACACTTATTTTATCAAATATTACTTAAAATTTGTACATCGTAGAGTCAAATTCAATCAATTATATTGAAAAGAAAAAAAAAATGATCGAACAACTAAAAAAGTATGCTTATATATAATTAAAAGATATGGTTTATTTTTAAGACCTCAAATATGAGTTTGTGTTCCTCTACTATTACAATTAGTCAGTGCGAAATATATATATTTTGTTATGGTTATAATTTTTTATTTTGTCTCTTTTTCTCATAAATATTTAAAGAAGCGTCTCAAACAGTCCAAAGACTTATTGGGTATTTTGAACAAAGTGTGTATTATTTTATATTAAACCATCAACCGATTGGACCCTATAATATAAGACATTTTCGTAAACGGATACTATAGCAATATCTACAGTGATCGGACAAGGCTTAGGTGCGAAGGGAAAAGGTTGGTGGGCCCTCTAGATTTTTATTGAAATTGAAATTGAAAAAGTAAAAGATGAGAAACGGACCTAGGCTTCACTATTTACCGCAGAACACCCGAAAACGCCTTACCTCACAAGTAGAGCACTAATCTTAAAAGGAATAAAACAAGAAAAAAAATAAAATTGGACGTAGTGGTGGTCAGAAACATTTTAAAAAGTAGCGGTGCGGATATACCTTGTGTGACCGCTTTTCTTGAACAAAGTGTGTATTTTTTATATTAAACCATCAACCTATTGGACCCCATAATATAAGATATTTTCGTACACGAATACTGTACCAATATCTACAGTGATCGGACGAGGCTTAAGTTCGAAGGGAAAAGGTTGGTGGATTGAGCCTGCAAGATAATAAAATTGGACCTTGAGGTTTGGCGGGCTCAATACACCAGTCGCCCGAGGGTCGGTCTGCAAGTAGCTTGAGGTATTGGTGGTTTAAAGATAGAATGAAAGTCTGAAGAAATTCATGTATATAGGACTGGTAGCACAGATTCATGAGGCCTACCGGTACGATCGTGTGGAAAACAAATTGAATGGCAAAAATAAAAATTGCACCACTTCGTCGTCGCAATTTATTTCCCGGCCAGAATGATTATATATATAATATTATATATATATATAGGGTCACCAACCCATACGTACGGAGGTCCCTGGGCCGACCTCCGTACATACGAGCGTTCGGGGTCTGAACCCAACAGCCTTCGGCCCCCGTCAAAAAATATTTTGGGGCCTAAGAAAAAAGTACTTCTTTCTGATTTTGTTTTGTGAGTTCTGTATGATAGTAGGTGCATGCCATGGCTACACGGGACGTGGACCCGGACATTTCCGGACATGGAACCGGACCCGTGTCCAGCAGTTTCCGGACGTCCGAAATTCCGGACATTTCCAGACCTCCGGACATGGGGGGATCCGGACGGTCTGGATGTCTGGACAGGTCCGGAAATGTCCGGACCATTAAAAAAAATAAAAATAAAAAAATCTGAAAAAAAAGTATGCTATGCAGAATAACAATGCAAACCACTTTTGCCTCAGACTCATGTCAGAATTCCTAACCAAACTTGAGTTACAAGTCAAAAACTATAAAAAAGCTTAAAAAAAGACTTTAAAAAGTTAAAAACTAATAAAAGGTAATGAATTATTAATAATTAAAAAATTGGGGTTGTCTAATAAATTATTATACAGAGAGAGCATGTCCGGACCCCCCCAAAAAGCATAAACGGGCCCGAAAAAAACCCAAAACAATTTTGGAGGCTTAACTCCTCAATGAGGAAGGGTCCTGGACCGTTTTTGTTATTTTTTTTCTCGAATTTTGGCCGAATCGGACCTTCCAGACCGGACGTCTGGAGTCCAGACTGAATCCGGACCGTCTGGACGGCGGTCCAGACGTCCGGATCGTAGCCATGGTACATGCCTATAAATTTTGAAGTCATTTTGCTAATCCAAAAAACTTAAGAATCGCCAAAGATGGCGGCGTCAAAACGTGCTTGCCCCCTCACTATTTTGTTTTTTTTCATTTTTTACTTTTTGTTTTCACTTCATTACGGGGCCTAAACGAAATTATTATTTTTGAAACTTTTTTAAAGAGTTTTCTACTATGTGAAGTACATATCTGTAAATTTTCAGGGCATTTGGCTGTGCCCAAAAAAATGAAAAATCACCAAAGATTGCGGTGTCGAAAACGTGCTCGCTCACTCACGAATTTTAATTCTCTTTCTAGGCTACCAGAGTGGCCCGGGGTCACTTGCCCGGCCGGGCCAAAAAAAAATAAAAATAAAAAATTAACCACATAAAGAGTGAGTTGGGTACAACATATAAACAAAAAATTGCAGAGATATAGAGACTTTTTCTAAAGTAGTACTTTTTTTTTATATCCATGTGATTAACCAAAGTATACTGATATCGACCATATAATAAGACAAGATTCTTTGAGATTCTAAATAGGATACATTTTATTCTAAATTTGGTGAAGAATTTTGATATGACCCTGAGGCAAAAGTTGTTCAGTTTATTTTTCTGCATAACATAGTTTTTTTTTTGGATTTTCCGGATTTATTTTTACTTTTATTTATTTTCGCTGGGACCTTCCCTGGTCCTTGCACGGGCTGGCCACCCGGGACCCGGGTGGCCCGGCTCGTAGCCTAGTTCTCTTTCATTTTTCCTTTTTTTTTTTATTAGTTTTATTTTCTGTGTTCGATTTTTATTTCAAACTTGGTAAGTAATTTAGATGTAATGCTCAGGCAAATGTTGTTTATTGTATTTTTCTGCATAACATATCTTTTTTTCAGACTTTTCTGAATGGTTTTTTTTTTTTTTTTTTTTTNTTTTTTTGGTCCGCGTTCGGCCCGAACGGCCGAACGCATCCCCAAGAGGTCCCGCACGTTCGGGCGTTCGGCCCATCCCGAATGCCGGTTACCCTGTATATATCGTCAAATAGAACTGCCCGGTAAACCGTAGGCAGAGAGTGAGAAGAGGACAACAAACGAGGGGCTGTGACAAACTGTTTCGTCGGAGTTTCACCGACTCATCAGGAGGCTATATATCCCAAAAAGATCACAACGAAAGCTATGAGCCCTTCAAATTTTCGATTTTCCCACATTCTTATGATTACGAAAATTGAAGTCCTTTTTCCGGTGGCCCATTTACAGCATGGTAGAGTGGGAGAAATGGAAATGCGTCAAATCGGCCGACAATTATTTCTCGGCCAAAACGATTTTTTTAAAAATTTTTCTGATATCTTTCCTTGTACGATCGTCGACCTAATCGATGGATCCTCCAATTTTCAATATTCTCTGCGAATTCTTCTGAGCACAAAATATCACCAGAACAGAGAGGCACGGTGGTTACAATTGATTAGGCACACTGCTGTTCTAGCCCCTGTCTGCACACAGAACAAGCCCTGTCAGGGTGTCATACATGAGTGCAATGTTCACTGTCATCGTCCGCATGAAAACAAAAACTTGCATGGGCGATACCATCGTAATCGAGCACACAGAATGCTGATCACATAGTAGCCGTTCATCAGGTGGTTTGTGAACCTTTGACAGATTTAAAAGGACTCTATCTTACTCCGATTCAGGCTCGAAGAAAAGAAAAGAAAAGAAAAGAAAAGAAAAGAAAAGAAAAGAAAAGAAAAGAGCCAGTGCCATACGTAATCGCCCCTCAGACCAAGATGATGGCCATTACAGCTGCTCACTCTCTGATCCATTGTCTACTTGCTTTCACATTCTCTCTCTCCCGAGTGGCCTCTCCCATCATGGATTGTTCTCTGCAACTCGAGAACATGAAGTCGGAATCGCTAGTACTCGCGCATCAGCATGCCGCGGTGAATACGTACTCAGGCCTTGCACACACCGCCCGACGCCCGTCACACCATGGGAATTTCTTTTGCCCGAAATCGTCTCTATGTTACTCTAATGCGGCACTGGGCAAAAAAAGAAGATTAGCATGGCCCCTGAGATCGCCAGTGCATTGGGCAAGTTTCTTCACGGTCTGTGCATGCACTGGCGGGTGGGKGGGGGGRGTGGGKGCGTGTGAGTTGTGAGGTAATCAAATCAACATAAACTTGAGCCAGACCCCTATAAGTTTGACACAGGGATAAGTATCGCAGTTCTTGGATTTATTGTGTGGGCTCAAGATGTGTCCCTCTCATGGGTCAACATGCTCACAACATGAAACCCAAAGCCATTCCACCTGGAGAATTTTCTCAATGCCTGTGTCTGTGTGATTGAGGAGGAAGTGCCAACAAGCCAGTTTGCTTAACACGGATTCGCACCAAAGAAAAAGCGAAAAAGAACAGAGAGAGGTGAATGAACAAGCACTTTCACCTACACCGATTCATTCATCAACCTGCACCCGGCCGTTACGAAAGTTTACTATTCGACGATATATAGCCAAGAGTCTTCGAAAAAGCCGAAAAGTTTTTCACATGTCACCAACCAAAATGTCAACACCTTCTATGCTGTGACGGCCAAAGTCCATTTTCTTTAACGTAACAACTTCTACACAGGGACTGCCCGCATCCATCTTCCCGTTTCCCGCTCCAGTTGCAAGTTTCCGAGGTGTGTGTGCGTGTGTGTGTGTGTGTGTGTGTGTGCGTGTGTGTGTGTGAGAGAGAGAGAGAGAGAGAGGGTTGCTCTAATGCAGGGGGAGGACAGGGTATTGCAGTCACCAAATTTGGTGGCCAAAGTCAAGAATTGAATAAATCATGGATCAAGTGCAAGCTCGCGCAATGGCGGTGGCATTACAGGCAGCGATAGTCGCCAAGGAGCTCTCTTCGGGTTCTTGAAATCCTGATATAGCACCTGTTAACAGCAACACAGCCCATGACACATAGTGAGCTCAGACCAATAACTACAATGAAGGAGCCCACCACTAAGAAAGGTACCCAAAAAAAACCAAAAAAAAAACACCTACAAAACCAGACCACCTGCTTGCACACCTGGATGTGTGTGTGTGTGTTGTGTGTGTGTGTGTGTGTGTGTGTGTGTGTGTGTGTGTGTGTGTGTNGAGAGAGAGAGAGAGAGAGAGAGAGAGAGAGAGAGAGAGAGAGAGAGAGAGAGAGAGGCGGAGGAGGGGGGGGTGGGATGTTTTGACTTCGAATTCGTTATGGAGCAGCCTATTAAGAACACATGACACATGCAAAATTCGCGGGCAAACAGCGACACGAAAAAGTAACCCATTTCGTGAAAAATTTTCCCGCCTCCTCTTTTTCAATCTCTTTTTTTTTTTTTTAATTTTGAAATTTATTTAACAAATTAAAAGTAAATTAAATAATATTTTATTATTATCATAATATTATGTTTCTTTATCGTTTTTGGAATCGGGGAAACCTCAAAGAGAGACATTACCACTTTTTGGTCGTCGCCGCCACTTGCAAAAATCAGATCGTCCGAAGTAATCGCAATCTGCCAAAGCACAGGAAGACCAGGAGAAAACAGCATCAGCTATCTCCGTACCTTTCCCAGAGAAGCAAACAGTGTTTTGTTCTTTTTAATGTTAATTTTTGCCCTTGGTGTAACTAGCTAGTTTAAACTTTAAACACAGCTTCTGTGGGTTTGCTTGATGAACTGTGGGGCTAGGGCTCTGCCAGCAGAGAGAGGCTGGACCTATCGGTTCTCGGTATGATTTCAAGTAAGCGTTGGGCACTGGGCCCGATACAATAAAAACGTTTTCACAAGAAAAGGACTGTTTCTTCTTGGCTCTTTGTTTGGCAATATTAATTTGTATTAGGCTTACCGCGGCCCACCGGTACGTTTCCCAGCCATTTTTTCAGAGACACGGTGTGTATGCTGCCGCGTCGGGCGGGATGTGCCGGGGCGCCGTTTCGCTGGCCATCCGTCCAGGCAAAGCATGCCTCGAATGCGACCCGTTTTGCCTGGATGGATGTCCAGCGACATGGCACCCCATTACATCCCGCCCGACGTGGCATGCAAAAATCGATGGGAAACGTACTGGCGGCTAGGCTACCAGCCGGGCCGCCCGGGTCCCGGGTGGCCAGCCCGTGCAAGGACAAAGGCCGGTCCCAGCAAAAAAAAAAAAAAAAAAAAAAAAAAAACAATCCAAAAAATCCGAAAAAAAAAATATGTTATGCAGAAAAGTAAACTGAACAACTTTTGCCTGAGGGTCACATCGAGATTCTTTATCAAATAAAAAAAAATAAAAATCAAAAGTATATTATTAGTACTTATTACTTTTATTTTTTTTTATTTTTTTTGGCCCGGCCGGGCAAGTGAACCCGGGCCACTCTGGTAGCCTAGACTGGCGGTTTAATTTCTTTTTCCTATTAAACGGAGGGGATGCTGCCCTAACGTTACGGCATCCATCCGTCTGATTTGCCCAGGGATTCGAACTCATGATCTGATTACTTACTTTACTAGCATTTTGCATGTGCGTGTTCCAGCCGCGAAGTGGCGGGCCTGGCTATGCTGCTATATGCTTGATCTAGAGTCGAGACCTTTTTTTTGTGTTTTTTTTTCTTCGGTCAAACATCGTCTCCACAAGGCGCTTTCAAGAATCCACCGAAGAAGAGCTAAGGTTTCTCGCCAAACGACTCTTTGGTACAATGAGACTTGGGACTAATTGGGTGGTCCGACCCTGAATGAGACTTGGGACTAATTGGGTGGTCCGGCCCCGAATGAGACTTGGGACTAATTGGGTGGTCCGGCCCCGAATGAGACTTGGGACTAATTGGGTGGTCCGGCCCCGATAAACTACCCACCTCGCAAGGTTCAACCAACCCATTTGTTCGAACTCATGGGCGGTTAGACCCCCTTAGATGAAGGGGTGGTATTTCAAGCATCCTTGGTAGTCACTGATGACACCTCCCACTAATCCTACACATTCAAGGTTGTCAATGCAAAGCTATAGTAAAGGTGCAGGGGGTAGAGAGACTACTCCACCTCCTACGATGTTTTTTTCAAACGCGAAAAAGAAAATCTGGCAGAATCCCAGTGCAGCTGCATACTCTTGCATTGTATGATTCTCCTTGTTTGTTTGGGAGGGGGTGGGGGTGAAGGGGGGAGGGACAGAAAACAGGACCTTATGGGACTGGATCCACAGCAGCAGACGGATGTCGTGAGCCAGCATCGGGCCGCATAGGTGATATGTCTATGCTAAGAGATCATGAACCTGGTCCTGGTCTTAAAACTGACCAGGTTCTTACAACCCACCTTATAGCACAAAAACCTGACACCGGCAGCGCCTGCAGGGCCTTACCCTTACTGGTGGATGGGTCTGAAGGCCAGGCCGACATGGACTTTGGAAATAGAGGTCGTAAGATGAGAGAGAGCATCACTATCCAACGACTCAGGCAGGATTAAAACATGAGACCTGGCCCAAGTACAAGATGTACAAGTTCGTGGAGGTTTTTTTTTTTTTTTTTTTTTCCCCAATGAAAATCACGTCGCCACACTAGGAGAGGTGATAAGAGCACCCCCTCCACTAGCAGGGCACTTGGTTGCTCCAAACGATTGGTGGGAAGCAGCACCTGCTGGAAAGCGGGTCCAGCGTCCCGCTGTACATCCAACGGCTGAACTTCACTGTGTAAACCTGCCAGCATTGATTGCCCGTGTTACAGGGGCTTGACCGTGCAGGCAATGCGAAAACATAACCTGGTAGCACTATGCTATGGAAGGGTAGCCACCTCTTCAGCCCCAAACGGGCCGCCAGAAGAATCGTCATTTCCTAGTGAATCCACCCTTCCTTTTCAAAACAAAACCTGCATTCCATCAAGCCGCCAGCACAACCGTCCTATCCGACGGTTTACAATTACGAGGTCTAAACTGGCAAAATTCGCCTCGCTGCAGTGGCAGATAGAACACCGCTGCCTTCCACGAATAACTGCCTGGTGGATCGCACGCACTTGGAACAGAAACGCCTGGCGTCACCATGGTGTAAATCCTGTCACACCGCCTTCCCTTCTCGTAAGATCCCTCTGAGAGCTATTTTGTTCCAATGAACTAACTTCTTAAACTGGAGCAAATGGCCGCCGGTCTAAACGGCTGACGGTCCATACCCCTGCTGTGCCCCATGTTCTGGTGGTTCCAACTTCAAACTGCTTAAACTCGACCAAACCGCCATTTGGCTGGTGCCGCAAGCCATGGTCCCAGGTACGCGAGGAAACGAGAGAGCCTCTCCAAAAAGTTCCGACTCTTCAGAGACTCGGGGCAACTGGACCAAATGGCGGGCGGGACCAGCCAAATTGAATAGTAAGATGGCGCACTGGCATTTCGGCGAAGCTTGGCGCACAGGGGAGAGTGGCCAGCCTTGGATATATAGTATATACAGGTGGTCTAACCTGCYGCAAAAAATCACGGGTCGAGACTACTGGACAGAAAAGGCTTGTGTCGCCAGGCAAACAGTGCGCCACGCCACGCCGTTTCCGCAGGAATTGGCACACGGCAAAGGACGGCGGCGGGAAAAAGAGGCCCAGACGGACTGGTGTTTTACGCTCACTTCCCGAGTCTGTGATATAGGCATGCGGAAGGTGCATTGTGTTCCAGGGGGCACACGGTAGGCCGTCCCTCAACACCAGCTCTCCGCTCCCTTTGCTCAATAATCCTCAATTGCAGTTCACTTGTGGACGGGCTCTTCGCTTCACCACACGTAATGGTCACACTTTTGTGATGGGGGGTTGTCTTCCTCCAGCGGACGTCGAACTCGGGTCCGCATTTCAGTAGTTTGTGCGGTGTCCCAATTTTGAGCAAGGCCCGTCGAACTGTTGTGATGGTCCAACCACACGGCGGAATSGGTGCACTCTTGACAGTTGGACGACCATCACATGCAGTACATTGTTATAGTGCTATGGTTGTTTGTTATGTTTAGCGCTATAAACTGCCAGTACACGGCCCCAGCCTTGCCTTGCAGAACAATATCCGCCCCCCACTCCGAAAATTTTGCGGCTCGGGCCTAAGCGACCACAATGGCTGGTGGTGCCAGCCTAAAAGGCGGTTGGGAAAAACTTGGCCCCCACTGCAGCAGCGCCTCCAGGCGCGGGTGTGCTGGTGGTGGTTTAAGCCTTTACTGTCATATGTACAGGAGAAGACAGACAAAGCAGAGCAGAGAGTGAGGAAAAGTAACCCAAGGAAGAGAGGATCAAAAGAGCGCAAAACATGTTCCGATTTCAGGACCAATGGGAGGGATGACAGACAGGATACCTTTTAAAATGGAAAAAAGAAAAGAGGTGAGAGATGGGAACGAGGGAAAATGGACCCTATGGAGAGAGCAAGAAGACGAGGAGGACTATGATTCACGCCTTTGCAGCCAATCCTAGGGAGAGATGATGCATCATGCACAGTGCACAACCCCCATGATCTGGGGGGAGGGGTGGCAAAAGGGTGGCGGACAGGGGGTGCGGAGAGAGGGCCTTCCGTTCCTCCCCTGATGGCGGTTAACTTACTGCATTCGCCGATCGAGTATGGCTTGCAATTGTCTTTACGCATGGCTCTCCCAAGGACACATCCCACACAGCGACGCTGGCAATTGCAATGCGCAGTCAGAAGTTCAGAAAAGAGCACAATATCAAAATAAATCAGTATTGAAAATACATAATAATAATCACAACACGGAGGAGGAGGAGAACGAGAGAGAAGAAGAAGAAGAAGAAGAAGAAGAAGAAGAAGGAGGAGGAGGAGGAGGAGGAGGAGGAGGAGGAGGAGGAGGAGGGTTCTGCTCTGGCCTTTGTTGGCTAAGGAGGGAGGTGCCCCATAGCACTGTCCAGATGACAAGAGTCAATATACAAACTGTCAGAACAGTTAACGTCTTTTTTTTTTTTTTTTTTTTTTTTGGGGGGGGGCGGAATAGAATTTAGTAATTTACCACTATGAATATATAATGCTTCAACTCAATTGCACCCACCCAGCTTTCATCAAGACTTCCATTGACTCGTAAATAATAATAAACAGCTTGTTTTGCATTCACAACAGCTCATCCAGCGTTCCTAAGCTCGGCTGCGTGGCTGCGACGTGTTATGATCCGGTTTGTTGTGTATGCTCTGGATGCAACTTGAACGCTATGCACCTGAATGGCAGTACTTTTTTTTTTTTTTTTTTTTTTTGACTTGCTGATGCACTTGTATTCATGTCTGTTCCATCTGGATGGTGACTCACGGAGGACATGCATATCATAATATCATTCAATTTTAAACTTGAGAATCTGTAGTTTTTTTTCGACTTTATTTGATTTTAAAGTTTAAACGGTGACTTGGGTAAGCCGTGAAAAATTGTACAGTGATGCCAGTGTTTGTTCACCTCCAATTTTGGAATGCGGAAAATAAAAAAGGCAAGGCAGAACAGAATGAACCCATTCCCCCTCCCACCCTTAAACCACTACCGTCTTCCCCCGAACACAACGCACCCTCATTTTCGCTGTATCTGGCCGGAAATATAGCTTGTATACATTCAGTTTTAGGGTGACGGTAGTATCTTTGCCGTCCAGTTTCGACAAGTTTCAGCCTAGTCCCGAACTTTTAGGAGGATGGGCCCGACAATGGCTGCCGTTGATAAATCTGCAATAACCCATGCAGTATGCCTCGTGGACTGTCTGAGGGCCTTGCCAGGCCACACTCAGACCCAGGCCGAAGGGGAAAATAACCCCGCGTAGAGATTCATGGCCTGAACGAGTAACAGTTAACTAAGTCAACTCTCGGACGCCCGACAGTCAAAGTCAAAGTGGAGCCAGCCCAGGCCGCCGGTCAGACGCACATACTTGTTTGTCTGCAGGTACCCAGACAGCATCAGGACCAAGGGGAAATCTGCAACTGTACACAATCCAGGCCCTTGGCTATGAGTCAATCTGTACGACTGTGGGAAGGGGACCGGAGGCCAGACTGCGTCGTCAAAGACTACATAAGGCTTGGACTCCAGGAGATCAACATTCAGTCTTGCTACGCTGCCTCGACGCTGGCTTGACTTTAGCTGGACGCTGGCTTGACGCTGGCTCGATGCTGGCAAGACGCTGGCTTGACGCTGGCTCTGCGCTGGCACTGTGGACGATGATGCGGGACTGTGACAGCATGCTGTCGCTTCTCTACTGTGCGCCAGTCATTGCTGATGCGTGCCACCTGTCTGCATTGCTGATGTGGTGCGTGCCACCTGTCTGCATTGCTGATGTGGCGCATGCCACCTCTCTACATTGTTAATGTGCCGCATGCCACCTGTCTACATTGCTGATGGGGTGCATGCCACCTGTCTACATTGCTGATGTGGTGCATGCCACCTGTCTACATTGCTGACGTGGCGCATACCACTGGTCTACATTGCTGATGTGGCGCATGCCACTTGTCTTCGTTGCTGATGTGGCGTATGCCACCTGTCTCCGTTGCTGACGTGGCACTGTCCACGCTGTCTACATGAGGTGACTGGTTGCAGACAAGGAGGAAGATCGGGATCTGTGGATGATTGAGGAACGTGACACTTACCTGAGGTGGACGTCGATACTGTACGCTGCTGATTGTCTTCATTGTCTCCAATGGGAGAATAGTGCCACGTGGCACTTCTATGTGATCGAGACTTATCAGACTTGTTACTGTATTTGATTGATGACGTGGAGGCGAGGGGAAGCCCGGAGAAGGAGTGGGTATTGATTGGGCTACTCTTGTGTGGTCACTGTTTCTCTCTTCCACCTTCTCCTCTGTCTTTTCTCCCTCCACTCTCTTTGTCTATTGGTAATGAGATATTGCAACAGATATTACTTTCACGATGACTGGGGACATTATGCAGGTCTGAGTCTACTTGCACGTCGATGTCTGATGAGTATCTTCCAGTCTGGGGTTCATTACAAATCTGACTGATTGGCGGCCGTCGTTTCGTTTCCGCCTCCTTTCCCCCCACCGCCCCCC